AACATCTAAATTTTACAATGTAGCATTTCAGCAACAAACTCAGAGCTCATCTCAAGAGTGAAATAATAGAACTGTTGCTCAGACATCTGAAAAGCAAAGCTGATGCTCTCTGCCCCACCCCACTCTTAGGCTCAGGCTGACAGGTAAGGTGGCGGCGGCTCCTTTGCAGTGCCGGTCACAGCAGCATCTTCGTACAGGGGTAACAGCACCAAAGTGTCATTGCTGGTGACATAAACCAGGATGTCAGACGAGTTCCTGCCATTGATGGATCGGTAGCAGTTCCAAACAGTTAATCAAGTAACCCTTAAAAGTCAAGATAATGCTAATGAACAGAAGAATAAAAAGGACCAAACAGGTAGGATTCACAGACATGATATCATCTTTGTAGGGAAAATTAGGACGCAGCTGCCGTATGCACTCCTGGATGGAGTTTGGATAGACGAGCACAGTGACTGCAACCAAGGCGTTCAGGGCAAAGTCAAAGATCTGGTAACAGAAGAACGGGACAATCCAGGCAGCACGCTGCTTATATGCTCCATACGTAGCCATTGCACATATCAGGATCATGAGAAAAGAAATTGCAATAGCGATGCACATGTTGGCATCATCCATGAACTCAAAGTCACCTTCCAGTTCAGAACTTGAAAAGTGTTGCTGATCTGGGTCAGCCAGGGCGCTCAATAAAATCCGCAGTACCACAGCATTGATGATCAGGTACCAGACGCCAAGCAGGATGGTGCCAGTGCGGACATGGCAGCACAGGCAGCAGCTGTTGGAGTAGAACCTCCTCCAGGGCGCGACCATCTTCATCGCTCCGGCCGCCGGGGCAGTGTCGCGAGTGAGCGCCTAAGTTTTCAGGAGCGTTGACCGGGTCTCCCGGGTCAGCCGCGCCGCTGCTGCCGCCTCCTAGTCAGCTCCGGCTCCTGGCCCGCTCGCCTACCCCACTGCCCTCCTCGTTCAGCGTTCCCGGGAGAGCTCCGAGCGGTTGCCACGGCTGGACTCTGCGCTCCTTTTTTTTTTTTTTTTTTTGAGACAGAGTCTCATTATGTCACCCTCAGTAGAGTTCTATGACATCATAGCTCACAGCAACCTCAAACTCTTGGGCTTAAGCGATTCTCTTGCCTCAGCCGCCCAAGTAGCTGGGACTACGGGTGCCTGCCACAATGCCTGGCTATATTTTTGTTGCAGTTGTCATTGTTGTTTTAGCTGGCCAGACTGGGTTTGAACCCGCCAGCCTCGGTGTATGTGGCCAGCACTGTAACCACTGTGCTACGGGCGCCAAGCCCATCTTTTCATTTTCTTTTTTTTTTTTTTTCTGGAGAGAGTCTTACTTTGTCACCCTTGGTAGAGTGCTGTGGCATCACAGCTCACAGGAACCTCAGACTCTTGGACTTAAGTGATTCTCTTGCTTCAGCTTCCCAAGTAGCTAGGACCACAGGCGCCCGGCACAACACTTGGCTATTTTTAGAGAGGTCTCACTGTGGCTCAGGCTGGTCTCCAACTTGTGAGCTCAAGCAATCCACCGGCCTTGGCCTCCCAGAGTGCTAGGATTACAGGCATGAGCCACCGTGCCTGGCCTTCTTTTCATTTTCTTAATGGTTCCTTTTGAAGCCCAAACCTTTTTGCTTTTGATGAAGTCCAGTTTATCACCTTTTTTTTCTTGATAGGTTATGCTTTTGATGTCCTATCTAAGAAATCTTTTTCTCATCCAACGTCTTAAAGATTTTCTCTTGTGTTTTCTGCTAAAACTCTTAAAGTTTTAGATTTTATATTTAGGTCTATAATCCATTTTGAGTTAATTTAGTACAGTGTAATAATCTAAATTCATCTTTTTTCATGTGGGTACCCAATTATTTCAATTACCAAGTGTTTTAAAGACTATTCTTTCCTTATTAAATTAACTTTACACCTCTGTAAAAAATGTTTACCAGAAGTGTAAGGGTTTATTTTCGGTCTTTCTATTCTGATCCATTGATGTACGTGTCTATCCCTAGGCCAAGACCAGACTGTCTTGATCACCAGTTGCTTTCTAATAATTTGAAATTGGAAGGTGAATGTCCTCCCATTTTGTTGTCAAATTTCTGTTTTGCTAGTCTTCGTCCTTTCTAGTTCCACACACATTTTAGGATTACTTTATCAATTTTATGGGTGGAGAGAAACCTACTGGAAATTTTATAAAGTGGTATTGAACCAGTAGATCACGTGATGTTTCTTCCTTAGCCTGGCGATATGGTGGATTACACTGATTGATGTTTTTTCATTAAAATACCTCAGTATTTTATTTATTTATTCCATACATATATTTTTATCTCCCCATCATCTCCACTTGTCTGACTACTACTATTACTGTGTTCTATTAGAACATTCCATTCATACTTAACACTAAGCGAAGAGTAGAGTTATACCTTTTTCTTTTCTTTTTGTGAGACAGGGTATTGCCTAGGCTAGAGTGCAGTGGCATAATCATAGTTCACTGTAGCCTTGAACTCCTGGGTCAAGAGATCCTCCTGTCTCAGCCTCAAGAATGGCTTGTACCACAGGAACATGCCACTGTACCAAGTTAATTTTTTTTTAAATTTTTTGTAAAGATGGGATCTCTCACTGTGTTACCCAGGCTGGTCTCAAACTCCTGCCCTCAAATGATCCTCCTATCTTGGCTTCCCAAAATGCTGGCATTACAGGCATGAGACACCATACCCAGCCCTGTCTTTATTTTTTTATTATTAAATCATAGCTGTGTACATTGATACTGTCATGGGGTACAGTGTGCTGTTTTTATATACAATTTGAAATATTTTCATCAAACTGGTTAACATAGCCTTCATGTTATTTTCTTAGTTATTGTGTTAAGACATTTATATTCTTCATTTAGGAAGATTCACATATACCCTTATAAGATGAACCATAGACATGATCCCACCAATCACCCTCCCTCCACCCATCCTCCTCCCCTTCCTCCATATTCTTGGGCTATAATTGGGTTATAGCTTTTGGAAAGCTATAAAGTAGTTTCATAGTAGGGCTGAGTACATTGGCTACTTTTTCTTCCATTCTTGAGATACTTTGCTAAGAAGAATATTTTCCAGCTCCATCCATGTAAACATGAAGGAGGTAAAGTCTCCATCCTTCTTTAGGGCTGCATAGTATTCCATGGTATACATATACCACAGTTTATTGATCCATCTGTGGGTCGATGGCCACTTGGGCTTCTTCCATGACCTATCAGTTATGAATTGGGCTGCAATAAACATTCTGGTACCAATATCTTTGTTGTAGTGTGCTTTTTGGTCTTCTGGATATATACCTAGTAGAGGAATTATAGAATCAAATGGCAGGTCTATTTTTAGTTCTCTAAGTGTTCTCCAAATGTCTTTCCAAAAGGAACATATTAGTTTGCAATCCCACCAACAGTGTAGAAGTGTTCCCTTTTCTCCACAACCAT